AAAAAAAAAAAAAAAACTAAATCAAAGTCATAAACTTTCTGTGAACTCTATTGTTCTTACTATAAAAGAACATGCTTCTAAATCATACTTTTAATTGCCATATTTCTGAAAATAAGACAAACACTTATATTTAAGAGAATTACATAAAATTATTACCCCTAAATAAATTATGCAGATTCTCTTAAGTTTTCTGTGAATTCCACTATCTTGCCTTGAGAATTATTAATTGTCATCTTCAACTCAACAAATTCCCAAATTGCTTCCCATATTGATGATCAACTTTTATTACTATATCAGAATACTTCCTTATGAAAGGGTTTATCTGTTCACTGGAATGGTTACCTTTAGGATATGATGTTCAAAGGAGATTTAATTTAGCAATAGGAATACTTTTGACAATGAGACTGGATTTGGATAACTGTTAAATGATTCATCTCTTTTGATTCTCCATATTTTCCTCTAAGTGGATTGTTCCCCGTGGATCTATACAGTGGGGATACCAAAGGGTCAGAGACGAGGTATTTTTAAGCACTCAAGTTTCATAGCTTTATGGACAGAATAAAATGTATCCTCCAGCTGTTCAAAAATGAGGGCGGGGTGTGGGGGCTGCGGAGATAAAAGGAGCAGTGAAAGCAAGGCAGAATTAGATATCAATGAAATGTTGCAAGCACAGTGTACTTATACCTCTAATCCTTTCCTTACTTGCAACTTTCAATTCTACCAAAACAGACCTTACATTTTCTCCTCACTTCCAAATCATTATAGCCCAGTCACCAAAAGAGTAGGATTCCACATAATAGCATGAATTACACACAAAGAAATAATTCAAGCAGAGCCTTTGGTGCTGGGAAAGTGAATTTAAACATTTTAAGACATACAGCTAAATTTACATTATCTGAGGTATGGTTGAAAAATCAAAAGTGCAGTGAGTTAAAAAAAAATAAAAAAGAAATTCACATGTTACAAATGAGCTATATATAAACACATTTATAATTCATACACTGCATTAAAATGATTGTTTATGCCATGTTGGTTAAAATAATAAAAGTAAGAAAATATGCTTAACGCAGAGGTATTTTCTTAAAAAACAAAAAATCAAAAGTTAATAAAATATTTCATCTGCATCAAAATATACTTTGGAAACCAAAAGTAAAAATGTACCATGTATGTTCTTTCAAGTTGATCTGTAAAAGTCAGAAAAATGCATAGTCCATGCTATTTAAAGTTCTGAAAATAACAGACTTCCAAATACTCATAAGCATAAAACAAAAGGTTTTACATCTCGTTGAACTAAAGCAGTGTCCACCCTGTAATAGTGCCAGAATCACAGTTCAGTTCCCATATAAAAACATGTTTGCTTCAGTCAAACTGAAACAAATAACCTGACTTCAATACAGTGTATAACAACTGATGCTCTGTCCAAAAAGAAGTCATTAGAGCTCTGAAGACACCTGTAGAAACTCCTGAGGGCAAAGAAGGATTTCTCAAAGGCCAAAATGAATACTATCCAAAGCGAAACTTTAGTCTGTATTTCACTGTGTTAGGACTTTTCCTAGGTGCAGAGAGGGCAACCTTTGGTTTAGGTGGTTTCTTCTTTTCAGGAACAGTAACTGTGAAAGAAAGTTCTGGCTGCTCCGACTGCTTGAATCTCGGCAAAAAATGAGTAGAGATGTGCTGGGGTTTGACCCGTGGACTACAGCCTCGTTTAGCTTTCCCTCTTTTATTCAGAGCCACATACCACTCACGTCCTGTTTTTTCAGTTCTATGTATTGCTGAGGCATAAGTATTATAGCTGTTTTCTTGAAATCGCTCCCTGAACTTGCAGTCATCTGTAAATTTGGCCTAAGGGGAACAAAAAGAGGAAATTTAAGTAGCAGTCGTATTTTAAACTTGTAATAAAATGTGAGATCTTGAATTATAAAGAAAATCAAACAATTCCATTGATGCCTGTGCCTCCTACTCCATGCTCTTTCATAGAAGACATGCTTTTTTTAAAAAGTTGCTTTAAAATTAGTACTTTCCTTTCTTTACTCCTATCTTATTCATGCTTGTAACACTTATTTCTGTTTACTATGTACTTTGTTGTTATTAACTGCTGTCTAGTCAACTCTGACTCATAGTGATTTTATGTGCAACAGAATGAAATGTTGCCCGATCCTGCACCATCCTTATAATTCTTGGCATGTTTGAGCTTATGGTTGCAACTACTGTGTTAATCCATGTTGTTGAGGCTTTCACTCTTTGTCATTGACCCTCTTCTTGGCTAAACAAACATTCTAGTGATTGGTCGGATGACTTGTCCAAGGTATGCAAGATGAAGTCTCCCTATCCTTACTTCTCTAGAGTATTTTGGCTGTACTTCATGACCCAATAATAATATGTGTAAAATTTACAACCGGAATTCTTCATATACTAAAGTATGCTTCTTGTTGTTGTTATGTGCCGTGGAGTCGGTTCCGACTCACAGCGACCCTGTACAGGGTTTCCAAGGCCATAAATCTTTAAGGGAGCAGAAAGCCTAATTTTTCTCCCGTGGAACAGCTGGTAGTTTTGAACTGCTGACCTTGCGGTTTGCAGCCTGATTCGTAACCACTACGCTACCAGACTATATTAAAATTACTTTGAGATTTGTATTTTTTAAATGCTTTAATTTTTTTTCTTCTAAGACCCTTTTCCCCACAAATAAACAGGAATCTATTACTAAGAAATGGTCACCTAGTAAAGCATGAATTTGTGTTTAGAGACAGTGAGTTTAGACTTTGAAACTAGCTTACATTTTTCACTGTTATCAGTGTGCTTCATGTGCTGAAAGAGGGGTAGCATATGGCCCTATTAATACTGCATGTGATGGAGTTCTTAAGAAATACTACTCACATTTTCTCATGCATGTGATATAGAAGAATATACATGATGAAAAAAAGAAGAAATAAATTGGAGTCACTAGATCTTCATGTGCAGAAACACAGAATATTTGCCCTTGAAATGGTCACAGAATAATGGAAAAAGCATACAGTCAGCATCCATCGAGGTGCAGAATAATAAATGAAATTATGATGACAGTATGCAGAGTATATAATGATAGCATAGAGGAAGGGCATCTAAAAGGGTGACACAGTAGTAACAGTGGGCAGGAAAATCTTCCTAGCAAAGGTGACATTTGAGCTGAGTCTTCAAGACATTTGTGAGGCAGGTGATAGGAAAAGGGATTCTCAAGGAACAGGAACAGGGCACTCAAAGGTCAGCATGATACTGTGGAATAACTCTGAGTAATTCCGTTTGACTTCCACTTAGGATTCATGGAAGAAAGAACAAGAGTGACTAAGTGGACCAGTACCAGTGCTAAAAGGACTCAGTTCATCCTTGGACCCTTATACCCACATGATTACTGTGAAAATCAAATCAAATATTTTTCTAGGGAAGGGATCTTTAGTTATTATCAAACTCAAAGGAGCCCATCACCTGTAAAACAATTAAAAATTCCTGTCCTAGACCAAGCAACTAGAGATTTTGTCTTCTAGGGAGAATAGTTTATAGAGAATTGGGAATATCAAAACACGAAAAATCTTGCTGCCTGTATGTAAAATCCTAAAAAGTCAATACTTTCTAGACTAGACCAACAGGTTATATACTGTAAAAAAAAAAAAAAAAAAAAAAATGACGTTTTTTTCCTTACTCTTGTTAATATTGCTAGATTTTTTTCTGTGATTGGATTATAACATGGCAATCAAAAACTCAGAACACTGCAATGCAGTCTACAGAGAAAGGGCTTCAAAAGTTCATGGAAAAATGGAAGGGAAAGATAGTCCCAGCAATGTATGGGAAACAGAAAATATCAGAGTATTTCCAACAGCTTATTTTCCTAGCCTATAATAATTTATCCAAATTATCTACACTCAAGTGTAGTTCAAGAAAGTTCTTTATTTGGAGGTTATAAAACTATAAATTTATTTATTTATTTATTTTAATAAGCCTACTGGTGATTCTCTGGATCTAATCTTTAGCTGACTGGAAGCAGGGGATCTAAAGATCTACCACCTATTAAATTTCTTCCATCTAGTTTTATAACCTACTGGCCAACTAAGCCAAGAGTGTTATAACAATTATCATTCAATATATCAGGTGTGGGGAATGTCCAGCTATCAGGCTGTATAAAGCCCTCGAAATCATTTGGTCTGGCCCTGCCAAGGAAATCTCAGTTCCAGTCATCACATTTGTAATGTTGTTAGGGGTGAGCTAGGGGGTGAGTTAATATAGAAGGATAATTTTCAAGTTCATAATTTTGTATGGCCCGCGAATGACGTTATAAATTTTGGCAGACCAAAAGTTTCCCCACCCATCCTCTAGAAAATCACACATTTATTGTTTCTGTATTTTATTAAATATCATTCTTACAAGTTAAATATAGTTTTTGTCTAGAGATGTTTAACTCTTCAGGACCTTAAATGGTCTCCTGTTTAGAGAATGCCAAAATTTTATTTTAAAATAATAGCTATCACAACCCAGAATGTTTTAGAAGGACATGGAGAGTTTCATTAAAAAAGACTAGTGGGTGTATTTATCCTTCCTCAGATTTTCCTTCCGAAAATGTAATTGAATAATATTTTTTAAAGTATAGTATACATTATACTTTGACCTGATTTCTACTCTTGTTTTACAAAATTCCATTTTCTCAAAATAGAGATATCAATGGTTGCTCTATTAAGTTTTGGCAGTTATGTCTTTTTAACTCTATTGCATTATTTAGATGTTATGGATGACTTTTATGATCTCTTAAAAATATTTTTTTATTATTTTGTCATTTCAACATTTTTTACGTATGCAATTCAGTGACATTCATTACTTTCACAGTGTTGTATAACTATTACCACTAATTTTTCCAAAATTTCCAATCACCCTGAACAGAAACTCAGTGTTCCCTCTTCCTCTCAGCTTTGGTAACTACTAATAGACTTTGGTCTCTATACATTTGCTTATTGTAGACTTCTGTGAGTTTTTCTTTTTGCCTAAAAACGATCAAGAACATGCCATTTTTTAAATTGGCGTGGCTCAAACACACACACACACACACACACACACACCCACACCAACCTATATCCATTTTATCCTAAGGTCATAGCTACACGAAAGCCCATCCTTTCCCCCCCCTAAAATTATTTCATCTTTAAAATGCCTTTCTTCCTCTTCAAATGTTCTCAACTTCTTCTTTCTTAAGAGACCCTTTACTAATGTTACACAGAATAACGATGCTGAGCGTTCTGAGGACCCACAGTCTACATGCATTGGAAATCTACAGACATTGGAAATCTCACATAAAAACAAGGAGCAAAGGTTATCAGACTGTTTTGATTTTGTAAATTGACTTCTAATTTTATGTTTTGTCTGAAAATTTCTTCCAGCTATGATGGAACCGAACCATTGGAAACAAATCTCTCATTGATTTTTTTCTATCAGGAACTCATGTTTTTTCTTGATGAATCCACTATTCCTAACAGAATTCATGATTTATTAAGACAAGATACCCTAAGCAGCATATTTATGCTGCTAATATCATGCATGAAACAACCCAATAGCAGAGAGTCGTTAAGCAGCATAAGTCATATCTATAGGTATTAAAGTACGTACATTTACCATAGACAATTTTTAGAAATACATTGTCAGGTTAATTTTAATCTTCTATCTCCTTTGAATGATAATAATTCCTTATTTTTATCTCCTTTGAATGATAAGAATTCCTTCTAATTTCATTTCAAACAATATGAAATACATATATTTTAAATAATAATGTTGTTTTTAGGTGCCATTGAGCTGGTTCCAACTCAAGACAACCCTGTTTAGGGTTTACAAGGCTATATTTAAGTCTTTACAGGAGCAGAAAACCTCATCTTTTTTCACAGAGCAATTGGCAGATTTGAACTCCTGGCCTTGTGGTTTGCAGTCCAGTGTGTATCCCAAGTGATCCATTTTAAATGATAGAGCTATACTATTTCTCTAGGAATGTGAGGTTAACGTAGACTTTTCTACGTTGTGAAGTGGAAAGATAAATCAAAGTTCAAATCAGCTATTAACTTAATGGCTCCATAGCCTCATTGCTTACCACCCTTAACACAGCAATAAGAAAAATCATTAAACTGTATATAAAGGATCCCTATCTTTTTTTCAAATTCATAACTTCATTAATTTATCCAATAGATGCCTATTGACTGCTTGCCACTTCCCAGAAACTGTGCTAGCTGCTACTTTTATAAAATGGTAAACAATATAAACTGATTTTACCCATGTGCTTTGTTGCCTTTGCTCCTAATGGACAAAACAAATATAACAACAACAACAACAAATTAAATAGTTTTACTAGAATATTCTTGTTATTCAGAGAAGGGGAGAGTAGCTCTTAAGGGAAACAAGAACTTTTTAAAGCACTTTGAATACTTACTCATCTTCTCACACACTTAAGGCATACATTGAGTGTTTTAAGGAAAGGTCAAAGAAAGTAAGACTTTGGTTAACTGGAATAATCCAGAAAAGAATAATTCTGCTTAATTGAAATCTGAGGATCAACTAAATCAAATTGAAATTTATTTCTGTAATTATACTGTCCTCTAAAACCTGTTAGCATAGTTCTTTTTCTTAATAAATATTGTTGGATGGTTGTTGAGGATCTTGACGAAAATGATCTAAGCCTACACTTCTTTCTCCCTCCCCATCACCACCACCAAAAAATACTAGTTCTCATTGTGTACATTTGTGAAATTATGCATTCAATATATTTTGTTGCTGTTGTTGGTAGGTGCCATTGAGTTGATTCCAACTCACAGAGACCTTATGCATAACATAATGAAACATTG